AAATCGGGGCAGACACGGAGCAGAAAAACATCCACTTTTTTAAGTCTCCTGACTAAGTCTAGAGATAGACTTATATTTATAAATAAACCGCGGAATCAGGAAGTAATTTACACTACAAATAGATGACAGTTAGAGAAAGCTACGTTTTTTATAAAGAACCCAAGATTCTCGCCCTAAAAAAGCTAAGGGAACAAAAATGCATGCAAGTAGTACTGTGAGGTCTACCTGTAAGTAATCTAACCGCATTCCATTCATTCTTAAAGAAGGTATGTACAACATACAGTAAAGAATTCTTATTATTACTACCAGATATACTTTTATGCCGTGATAACATATAACATTACTTTATTATTATTCTGGATTACTTAAGAAAGTCTTTGCAGTTTCAAGCTGTTACGGACTCATAAGTTGTAGGTTTCAGTTACTTGTTCTAGTAATACAAAAATCTTCTGCTCCTTTACAATCAAAACTCCTTTTCTACATCGGAAATCAAAAACATTTAATATTATTGGTTAATAGGGTTGGTTATAATATATACCTATAGAATGTGTACATATTACAAGTATATTATTTATCTATGTTAAAATAAAATATTTAATAAGAATATTTTACTTTATATTCATCGCATTTTATAATTTTTAAATAATGTTTCCTTCATAAATTAAATATATTTTGATAGTTTTTTAAACAAATCCACTAAGGTGTATGCAATACTTTATACATCGTGCTGCTGGATTTTTATTACAACCATTATAGACTGGGAGCTGGATGGAAATTATTCTGAAAAATATGAAGACGACATTCTATAAAATGGTTTTACACTAAAAAAGCTAGCAGATTATAATTCTGGATGTTGTCTATCTATGTTGTCTGAAGATACGTTGATCTATTTATTTTTATACACCACTCCCTTAGATATCAAGTAAATGGTATGAACCAATACTTTGAAACCATTTTAATAATTATTTTATTAACAATATTTAATTAAAGATACATTTTATTGACAATAATTTTTTATAATAAAAAAGTTTTCAAAATTAAGCAATAAAAATAATTTTTTTGAACAACAGTGATACATTTACATAGCGAAATACAATTTAATTCCATTTTTTTATAAGAACTGGCCTTGTTTTGACAATATTGGACGACATTTGCAGGGCTAAATCAACAGTCTCAGCAACGGTCGCTTCGTTAGTTCTCGTTAAGAGAGAAGCATTGAACATTGATCAATAGAATAAGTACATAGAGTCTTTGATACAGTAATAAACCTTTTGGGAAAAATACTTCTCTACCCTCTTTGTTGGCATAAATCAGACTTTTGATAAACTCTGGCATGAAGGGTTGCTCTCCAGAATTAGAATGGACGTTACAGAGTCAACGTTTACTTAACTAAATTCATATTTAGAAGGAAGATACTACCGTGTCAGATATAAATCAAAAACATCAAAAATTTAAGCTATACGATCTGGGGACCCTTAAGGTTGTGTTTTAAATCTTATATTATATTTGATATATACGCACAACATACCAACAAACGAAAATGTAACGACTGCAACATTCGTAGAAAATACTGCTATGTTAGTCACAAATAATAATCTTGCAACATTGAAAACTGGACAAGATGACACATAAAGTTCAATAAACATAAATCAAGACATATGATCTTTAAGAAACATCGTCTAAAAGATGAAAGCTGTAAAGACCTTAGAATGCATCTGAACAAAACTTTGACATGGAGAACCCATATGTGGAAAAAGCGCCAGCAGTTGAACTTAAAACTTCGTAAAACTTATTAGATACTGTTCACAACATCAAAGTTGTCTATTCGTAACCAACTGTTGGTATACTATACAACAATCAAACCGGTCTGGACCTATGGAATGTAGCTGTGAGGTACAGCATCAAAATCTAACGTAATAAAAATCCGTTTATCCGTAATAAAAAGATTTCAATTCAAAATGGTACGCACTGTAACAGAAGCCTCATGGTTTTTGTCAAACGACGATTTTTATTGTGATCTAGAAATACCCACGATTTGTAAAGTGATAGTTCAGTGCCGTGCTCGGTATCTAAAACGCCTAAAAACCATCCAAATGCTCTGGCAATAAACTTCCTTGATAACAGTCAAAAAACTCAAAGACAAAACTCAAACGTAAAAAGACCTGGTTTATAAATATGTGTTCTAAGTTACCGTAATTGTGTACATATTTTAGACAATAATATATTATATTTAGATAATAATATAATTGTTTGTAAATCTTAAATGTATGTATAGGGCATGTTATGTTTGTTCCATTATCCAGGTATATGCCCCTACAGCTGACAAACCGGACGAGATAAGTGAAGCATTTTATAACGAACTAACGAACACCTTAAAACGCCTCCCCAGAAAGGATTTAACTTTGATTATGGGTGATCTAAATGCCAAAATGGGTAGGGGACAATCGGGAGAATTTATAGGACAATTTGGACTTGGAGAAAGAAATGAGCGAGGAGACCGAATTTGTAGCAGAAGAAGAGTTTGTGATTACTAACACTTACTTCAAACTCTCGCACAGAAGATTATACACATGGAAATCACCTCAAGATAGTCCAGGCCGCATAGTGAGAAATCAAATAGATGACATTCTGATTAATAAAAGATTTCGGAACAGCATAACATCAGTCAAGACATACCCAGAAGCTGATATCAAATCAGACCATAACTCACTGATTGGCAAAATTAGGCTCAGGCTAAATAAGGTTAGACGTAGTGTCAATCCAAAATTCGACATCAAGCTATTAAAAGACCAACACACAGAACATAGTGTAAAACGGTATATACAGAACAATTTGAATACCGTTATTCAATCGGATGTAATGGACCAGGAGCTAGAAAAGTAACATACAGTTTCAAAAGACATACGAGAGAAATTTCTCAAACCACCAAAAATTAAGAAGAATTCGTGGATGACAAATGAGATTCTAGATATGATGGAAGAAAGATCAAAAAAGCTATTAGAATAGCTAAGGATACACATCTAAGAAAACAGTGTTCGGAAATACAGCAATTGCAACATAAACACGATACTTTTAATATGCACAAAAAAGTTAAAGAAGCCGCAGGCTTATACAAACCTAGAAGAGTTGGGTGTTTGGCAGATAACCAAGGCAAACAACTGTTAACCGTGGAAGAAAAACTAGACACTTGGAAGAAGTAACTTTTGCAGATGAAAGGCAAACTAGCATTGAAGACACTGAATGCCAAACAGGACCCTCGATTACCATTGAAGAAGTCACGTTAGCTATTAAAAGAACTAAATATGGTAAAGCGGTAGGGCCTGATGAGTTTTGTGCATAACTTCTTAAACTTATGGATGAACAGGGAATAAAATGGATAACAACTGTATTCAACAACATATACGTAACTGGAAAAATACCCCAAAGCTGGTTAAAGTCGACCTTCATGACCATACCAAAAAAAGTAAATGCCAAGACATGCGAAGACTATAGAACAATTAGTCTAATGAGCCACTTGAGAATGAGAATATATAAAAAATGCGAAGAACAAGTATCATGGACGCAGTTTGGATTCCGCGATTGCTTAGGCACCCGAGAGGCTCTATTCGCTGTCCAAGTGCTTATGCAAAGATGCAGGGATGTTAACTGCGATATGTATATTTGTTTTATCGACTACAAAAAGGCATTTGATAGAGTAAAACATGATAAACCTATAAAGATCTTGAAAGAAGTGGGGTTAGATGATAGGGACTTGGGAATCATCTATAATTTATATTACAACCAAACAGCCAATATTAAAGTGGATGATCAATTGACAGAGGCAGTCTCCATAGATAGAGAAGTGAGGCAAGGATGCATTCTGTCTCCGGTGTTATTTAATATATACTCTGAATATATCTTCGAGCAAGCGCTGGGAGAACTACAAGAAGGCGTATTAGTTAACGAAATGCGTCTAAACAACATTAGATATGCCGACGACGTAGTAGTTTTTGCAGATAGTCTGGACGGTTTGCAAAGAATAATGTCGCATATATCACATATAAGTAGAGAACACAAACTTGATCTTAATACGAAGAAAACAAAGTACATGGTAGTCAGTAAGCGCGAAATATTAAATATACAGCTTTTGGTTAACCAACATCCAACTGACAGAGTGGACAGCTACACATACCTTGGTACCAACATTAACAGCCAACGGGATCACTCCAGTGAAATAAAACAACGCATAGGAAAAGCGAGATCAGCGTTCATAATGATAAAGTCTCTTTTCAGAAGTCATGATTTCAATTCGAGAAATGTGGTGTTACAGACGTATCTTAAGAATTTCATGGGTGGATCGTGTGACTAATGTTAAGGTCCTACGTAGAATAGGCAAGGAATGTGAGATTATTAACACCATCAAAGAGCGCAAACTATAATATCTTGGCCATGTTATGAGGAATAAACAGAGATACGGCTTGTTGCAACTCATTCTTCAGGGCAAGGTATTTGGAAAGAGAGGACCAGGGAGAAGAAGAATATCTTGGCTTCAAAACCTGAGAAAGTGGTTTAATACATCGAGAACCAGACTATTCAGAATAGCAGCAAGCAAAGTGAGGATAGCCATGTTGATCGCCAACATCCGGAACGGATAGGCACCGTAAGAAGAAGATGTTTGTTCCAAACCAGAGGTCCAGTCATTAGACTGACGTCTCTAAAGACAACTTTTATTTCCCCCAAAGACTGCATGCTTTTCTTGCTTTTCTTGCTCTTGCGTATTTTTCCAGTTTTCACTTTTTTTAACACCATACACGAGGGTGTATGCAGGTTTTGTCTTAAAATTTTAATATTGTATTTTTCTTGTAGTATTTTAAGTAATTTTCTTTCTGTAAGACTAAGGTTCAGGACTACTGTAATTCTTAGTAAACGCATTTAGAACAGTGTTCTAAATGTGTTATAAATGTATTACAAATGCGTTATGAATGTAAATGTATTATGAATATGAAATAGGCAATTTACTTACTACTTAACTTATTTTTTATTTGAATGTCACAAAAATATTATTATTACAAATAACATATTTATATAATAACATAGTTTAATCAATAAATATTAGGGCGTAGTAAGTAACTGGATCTGCTGTATTGGAAGTAATATTAACTACAGCATAGGTGTCAAGATATCCACCTTCCAATATTTTGGGTGTGCTGGTACTTCCTTTTTGATCTATTAGCTACAAAATACAAAAAATATATTTAAATTTAAAAGTAGAAAAATATAAAATAAACACGAATAAGAAACGTCACTTTTAAGACGTTAGGTTAAATATTACGGAATCGCTTGATTTCTTGACCAACAATCATATGCAACGGGGATGCTTAAATCTTTACCAACAAGCCAGGACTTGTTGGGATTGAACTAATTGGATTAAAGGGCTAATTATCTATGTTTCTTGCGTAAGGAAATTCCATTAAAACGACAGTCTTCTTCTCTTCTTCGTATGCAAATCCACTAATGGAAGTTAGCGAACACATTTTCCATTATTTCTCTATTTCTTGCAATATGTATCAGAGATTTAATGTCGGTTATCCCTGTCCATTGCCTTATGTTTCGGAGCCAGGACATTTTCTTGCGTCCCATTCCTCTCTTACATTCAATTCTACCCTCGATTATAAGTTGGAGGAACTGGTATTTTTCATTTTGCATGATGTGACCTAGATACGCCGTTTTCTTTTTCTTGATGGTTTCGAAAAGTTGGCGTTCTTGGTTTATTCTTTTAAGGACATCTATATTTGCGATTTTCGCTGTCCATGGTATTTTTAGGATACGGCGATAGAACGACAGTAGTCCAAGATATAATAAGCGACAAAAATATAGGCGATTCCGCTTGAACCCCATATGTCAAGGTCAATTTCCTGCAAAAACCACAGTTTTTAATGAATATTGATGTTTTTGCAGGAAACTTTATCGCTTGGCTGTCAGTAAGTTTTTATAGGTTAACTTTTCTTTGAACAGTTGTGTTTTGTAATTTTATAAGTAAACACCATAAACCAATTTAGTAAAATGAGTTTTATTACAAATACAAGTAACAATAAACTCGAACTACAAAGTTCAAGTGCCAAGAAAATGTATCATTAAAAAAGAAGGAGAAAGCTGAGATGTACAGAGATAAAACAGGCAAATGTGAACGGACAAAAAACGAGCAAGATGGTTATTTGGAAGGTGAAATTAATTACTTTAGTTAAACAATTAAAATACTAACAAGTATATTTCATCGAAGAGCTAATATCTTATCACATTCCAAAGCAAAGAAGAAGCTGACAAAACGCTGAAATTAGGGATGTTTTATTAACAAAGGTAGAAAATAATACGTCAAGTTAAGGTAATATTCCGCAAATGCTTAAAGACCAACATTCTGCTGCCTATAATAACAAAATAAGGTTGGAAAAGAGGAGAACCAGTATGTGTAAAAGTTTTTTGTGGTCTTCATGGAATAACATATGCAGAGTTCGAAGGATACAAAAACATAGTCTTTAATGGTGGATCAGCACCAGGATATACGAGGCAAGCATAAACACCGACCAAATAACATGGCAGAAAATACATTTGCTTTGACTAAGAGCAATATCAAATCTTTTCAAAACTGACAGTCTCATTATTCAAGGAGAAACTCAAAGAACTCCACTTACGGAAAGCTGAGAACTTTTATGAACTAAAAAGAAAATATGATGATTCACAGAACAACAGTTGCTTGCCTTTTGACTATATGCAAAACCTTCAAATGGGTGGTGAATCGTCAAACGGGCCATAGAAAATTTAATGGAAAATTCGAAATTGTTGAATTCCTGCTTCCCTATTTATTTTACATCAGAAGTCATAGAATTGTAGAGGACTGAAATATGTATTAAAAACAAATGTTAAAATTATTCTACGAATTAAATGTATTCCAAAATTTTGTAAAATATAATACATTTTATGTACAATATAATAAAGTACATATAAGTTTTGTGATTTATTGTTTAAAAAACAATACCTATAGTTGATTAAAAATTGTGTTCAATTGAGGAGAAACTAGCAACAATAAAAATGTTTTATTCAGGCAATAGTGCGCGAACTGTCAGTTCTTTATTTAGCGTAAGATATTCCAATAGACCAATTCAAATTCATTCAACAATTCAAAGGATTTCACAAAATTTTGAAAATAATGGGACCGTGATTTCTAATTGTACCTGTACAAACAATGTTGCTGGAGTACCAAAAAATTTAGAAAAACAAAATGTAATAAATGTATTAAAAGCAGTTATAGAAAATCCTAGAATAAGTTCTCGGACCATTGCAGACCAGTTGAATATTCATAATTATACGGCTTTAAAAAGTTTGAAAAGGAATAAATTCCGTTCATATGAATTGAATACATTTCATTAATTTTATTGCTTTGTAAACAATACTACACTAGTAGTAGTAGTATTTGTAAAAATTTGCTTATTTTAGTATTTGTGTATAATTTAATCACAAAATAAAACTAGTAACAATTCAAATATTGTCAAATATCAGAATAATCACTATGACCAAACGCAACATGTCATACACATTCTTGTACCTCGTGTGGCCCGACTTTAAGGGGTGGTCTGAAAAATGTATTATATTTTTACAAAATTTTGGAATGCATTTAATTCGTAGAACAATTTTAACATTTGTTTTTAATACATATTTCAGTCCTCTACAAATAGTTTTTCATGACTTTTGATGTAAAATAATTAGGGAAGCAGGAATTCAACAATTTAGAATTTCTCATTGAATTTCCTATGACCCGTTTGGCGATTCACCACCCGGTACACGTACTAATGCAGTATTCTATACTAGACAGTTATGGATATACGTATTTGGTGTGCACAATGATGAAAATAATACTGCAACTATGTTCTCTTACAATGAAACCATTAAAAGAAAAGGACGAAATGAAGTAGCTTCATTATTGTTCCAATATTTACGATCTAATGAGGTGACGACAAAGAAACTTATCCTAATAAGCGACGGATTTGCCGGACAAAATAAAAACTATGTTCTTATGAAATTTTTGTACTTGCTTGTCCATGGTTTACACATGTTTGAAACTATCACACGTGTATTTTTTATTCGAGGCCATTCATTTTTAAGTTGCGACCAAGATTTTTCATTGATAAAAAGCATAAAACATCTAAAACCATCGAAATGCCTAAATCATGTAAAAACGTTTAAACATTCAAGAATACTATTATAGGAGCAAACCATCACCCTTTACGGTAACTGATGTTAATCAGTCTATGATATTTATCATTTCAGAAGCAGTAACTCAATTTTATTTTAGATCAGTTCGTCCTCCAGTGAAAATCAAAACTGCTCGAATATTGAGAAATTATGTTGATGAACCTGGTGTTGTTTTAGTAAGACACACTTAAACAGGTAACTGGGAAAAATCTCTTATAAGAAACAAATGTGGTATAACGAAAGAGATTGAATCTAAAACGTTATACAGGACGCGTTTAAATATTCCTCAGAGAAAAAAAGAAAACCTTGGAAATTTAACCCAATATTAAAAAAAAAAACAGGCTCAATACTTTTATAACGAACTCCTCACAGAATCTGGTTATCAGTTTGAAAAAGTTACCGATTTAGACAAAAACGATAACAGATAAAGTGATGAAGACTAAATATTTTGTTTCAAATTTCAACAATTTCATATTTCAATTTTTTCACATTTCGAATAAAAGTTTTCGTTTATTTTTTTATTTTGGTTTATTAGTATAAATATCGTTTTTCCTACAAATTAATGAAAATTTTCTGCAAAAACCCCATATATGTCAAATGAATAAATGTCCTTCATAACAAAACCAAAGGAAAAAATAATGTTATTTATATTGTAAACTATGTGTAATCATCAAAATAATAAATTACTAATTAAAAGTGAAACTGGAACAAACCATGAAGTGGAGATATCCAGGAGTGGCTAGTATACCTGTTGAATACAAAGCACGTGGTGTTCGTGTGTATTAAGGTATAAAAATGCTTATTAAAAGCTTAAAATTTTTATTTTAAAGATCTTTTCGGAATTGAATCATTCCATCATCAGTTTAATAAAAAGTTGTTAAAAACATTGTACGGCCACATAAAAACATTGGAAGGACATCCGTATTAAAAAAAAAAAATCCTCATGGTATTTATAAAGGTAAATCCAATAGACTGTTAACTTGTTGATTAATAAAAACTGAAAATGGGGGCATCTTACATGACCCCCTGTAGCTGGTGAGGTTTTATCGACTTACATTATGTCTGATCTGTGCTGAAGTCTAGGGCTAACTAGTAAATACCATGAGGATTGTTTTTTAATACGGATGTCCTTCCAATGTTTTTATGTGGCCATACAATGTTTTTTAACAACTTTTTATTAAACTGATGATGAAATGATTAAATTTCGAAAAGATCTTCTTTAAAATAAAAATTTTAAGCGTTTATAATCATTTTTTATACCTTAATACACACGAACACCACTTGCTTTGAATATATTACTAATTTAAGAATTTCCGTAAACTTAATACAGTTTAATTAAATAATTTTTTTTGTAACATCTTCAATGTTGTAAATAATGACAAATGGGGTTTTTGCAAAGAACGCCTCAATTGATTTAGGGGAATCACGTCAAAGTTCACATTAAGTTTAACACTAAACCATGGTATGTTTGACGTTGCGTAAGAAAAATATTTAAAAATTAAGAGAAGATAGAATTGGATAAAGAATTGTCATACAATGATTTTGACCGACGGATAAAACTTTGCGAGCGAGTGATCAATTATTGTGGTGACGACTAACATTTTGCAGCTAATGTAGCGACTAACTATTTTGCACATACTCAGCATTCAAAAAAGTTTAATATTGTTATGAGAATTATCCAAAAGGCTTAGTGTCAATATCTTCCAATATTTTCAGAGCGTGTTCGAACGTTCCATGCTTATGTAGGATATTTTCACTACCTGGTGGTTCCATCTTTACTGATAAGACAGGGTATTCTTACAGCTTATTCAACTAACATTTCTTCAAGAATAGGTGAGTTTTGTGTATTTTTAAACTCATCGTTTGAGTCTATATCCTCAATAGTTTTTATAAAATGGTCTTCTATTAAACTCTCATCATCATCTAGTTCTGCCTCTGAATCAATGAATCAATTAACACTTCCTCATGAAACCGCAACAGCCATTTTTGTTACCTCTCGTAATTCATTATAAATATATGGATGAGGGAAACTCGACTGGTGACAAGTACTTAAATTTACTTCTTCTTCTTCTTCAAGTGCCGTCTTCGTTCCGAAGTTTGGCTATCATCAAAGCTATGCGTATTTTTGATGCTGCAGATCTAAACAGTTGGTAATTGGTGCAATTGTACCATTCTCTCAAGTTTTTCAACCATGAATGCCTTTTTCTTCCTATATATCTCTTTCCCATTATCTTTCCCTGTATAATCAATTGCAGCAACTGGTATTTATCTCCCCTCATAACATGTCCCAGATATTGTAGTTTGCGCTTTTTAACAGTAAGTATCAGCTCTTTCTCTTTCCGCACTCTCCGCAAAACCTCCACATTTGTTACTTTCTCTGTCCAGGGTATTCTTAATATTCTACGATACATCCACAACTCAAATGCTTCTATCTTTTTGGTATCGATCTTTTTCAATGTCCATGTTTCCATCCCGTAAAGGAAAACTGACATAACGTAACATCTCAAAAGGCGAATTTTAAGTTTTAGACTTAGATCTCTTCCGCAGAACACCTTTTTCAATTTAGTAAATGTGGCTCTAGCTTTCTCTATTCTGGTTCTGATTTCTTCAGAGCAATCATTATTTTCGTTGATAACAGTTCCCAGGTAATTATATCTTCTTACACGTTCAATTCTTTGATCATGCACGGTTATGTCAGGGAAGTTTTGTGGTGATTTAGATATTAGCATTATTTTTGTTTTGCTTATGTTAAGTGATAATCCGTGTTCTTCACTGCATTCTACTATTTTGTTAATTAGTATTTGAAGATCTTCCCAAGTTTCTGCGATTAGTACCGTGTCATCGGCATATCTCAAGTTGTTTATTCGGATGCCATTTATCTTAATACCTATATTTTGATCCGAAAGTGCTGTGTTTATAATGTCTTCGGAGTATAGATTGAATAAGGTCGGTAAGAGTATACAACCCTGTCTTACGCCTTTCTTGATCTCGATTTCCTCCGTTGTCTCTTGCTCTATTCGGATATTTGCTTTCTGGTTATAGAAAATCTTAGAGATATTTCTAATGTCCCTTTTATCCAAGTTTTTTTCTACTAGCAGTTTCATTAAGTGATTGTGACGAACATTATCAAACGCTTTATTGTAATCAATAAAGCACATATATATATATATATATATATATATATATATATATATATATATATATATATCTTGGTTTATATCTAGACATCTTTGGCATATGACGTTAAGTGCAAATAGTGCTTCTCTTGTTCCAAGCCCGTTCCGAAATCCGAATTGAGTATTACTAATATCTGCATCTAGTTTTCTGTTAATTCTTGAGTGGATTACTTTGATGAATACTTTTAATGTATGCCCCATTAAGCTTATAGTGCGGTAGTCAGTGCACTGTTTTGCATTTGCCTTTTTTGGTAAGGTTACAAAAGTTAAAAGTAGCCATTCCTTTGGTATTTCTCCTCTTTTGTAGATGCAGTTAAAAAGGTCGAGTAGAATATTCACTGATTTGCCTTCCACAAGCTTAAGAAGTTCTGATGTGAGCCCGTCTGAACCCGGTGATTTACCATTTTTCATTATTTTTATAGCGTATAATAGTTCTTCTTTAGTTATTTCTGGTCATTCGTCGCCTTGCAAGTTATCTATATTAGGTTCTTGTCTTTCATCGTCGAACAATTCTTCTACATAGTTCTTCCAGGTCCTAAGCTTTTCTTGTAGATCGGCTATTATTTCACCATTTGCGTTGCATAGGAGATTGGGATGTTTTCGTTTTTGTGTACCTGTCAGTTCCTTTATCTTTTTATGTAAGTTAAAAGTATCATGTTTGAGATGTAGTTCTTCGATTTCCTCGCATTTTCTTGTATAAAAATTTTCCTTTGCTGTTAAATTTACTAAATATCTAAATTATTACTGCACTTTAACAGAATGACCAGTTTTCACAATATTTTTATTTTCAACAAATCGGAGCATACCCGTAACACACGTAAGCAAAATAATATGAATAATAAAAAAAAATTCAAGAAATTAATAGCTTTCTGTCATCTAAAGGTATAATTTATACAACATTTATTGTAAAAATGCTTTTATAGACTTACCAATAAGCAGGTGATAGGTCTGCTGTAATATCCAGTTGCTGGTATACGAGCCCTAACGTTATATCCTGATGGCAGTACAGAGTTGTAAGTAAGAATTTTTCTGTAACGTGAAAACATTGTGTTAAAATATAATACTACTTTGTATCAAAGAACAAAATTTATAATTTATTTTATTAAACTTTTATATTTTAGAGTCCAAATTTCAGTGCTGTACAAAATCGTTGACCAGATGAAACAATGAAACATTTTGCACAAAAAATTGCAAATTGCATACTAAAACCTTACGAACTAAGTTTAAGTTGCTGCATGTGATATCCAAATATATTAATTACTATTTAACTGGGAATATGCCACAATTAAAGATAAAAATACGTTTATTGACGTTTCAATTTCCACTTCGGAAATCGTTCTCAAAATACAAACAGTAAATTTACTGTTTGTATTTTGAGATACTCTCTCCATTCGCCTTTGTGTTACCCTCAGTTTTCGGCAGTAGCTTTCGTTAAAGTCTCTGCTCCATAGGTCAAGACTGGTATGATGCATTGGTTAAATGCCTTCCTTTTTAGGTGAATTGGGATATTTGTTTTAAAAATGTCTCTCATCCTTCCATATGCCTCCCATCTCAACGTGATTGGTCTATTTAGCTTGCAGGTTTGGTTGTCTCTGGTTATTCTAATTTCATGCATCAAGTATGTGTATTTATCGATTAATTCGACCTTGTTTTTTCGGTCATCATTTCGACATCATTTTGGTTTTCTCGAAATTTATCTCCAGCCCAGTTTCTTGTAGTATGTCATTCAGTTCTTGGAGCATGTCTTTGATCTCTCCCTGATTATCTTACAGAAGTACGATATCGTCCGCAAAACGTAGATTGTTTAATCTTTCTCCATCGATGGATATTCCTTTCTCTTGCCATGTTAGTTTTTTAAATGCATACTCAAGAACGGTAATGAACATCTTTGGTGACATGGTATCACCTTGCCTGACTCCCTTTTTTATCTTTATTTTATTAGTTGCAGAATGTAGACTTATGGTTGTTGTGGCATTTTTATATATATTTTTGACTATATTACAATATCTGTGGTCGACCCTGCAATCCTGTAGTGCTCTTAAGATGGACGGTAGTTCCACTGTATCAAACGCCTTTTTAAAGTCTACGAATCTCAATGCCAAGGGACGGTTATATTCGTTAGTTTTTTTTATCAGGGTTTTTAGGCATTGCAGATGATCGTTTGTGCCGTAATTAGGGCGAAAACCAGCTTGTTCCCGAGGTTGGTAAAAATCCAGCTTTGTCTCTAATCTGTTCGTTATTATTCGGGTGTATAATTTATAAAGACGGTTAAGAAGACTGATTGGTCTGTATCTTTCCAGGACTGCTATATCTCCCTTCCTGTGTAAGAGTACAGTTATTGAATTATTCCACTTTGTTGGCAATTTTGATTCCATAGGCATAGATTAAAGAGCTTTTGAATTTTTGCTGTCAGTACTGAGCCTCCTATTTTTATCGCTTCCGTGACGACACCGTCCTCCCCCGGAGCTTTGTTATTCTTCATCTTTTTTAGATCCTTGTAAATTACGTCTAAATTTTCTTTTCGTCTAAATTTCGTATATATATATATATATATATATATATATATATATATATATATATATTGAAAATATTGAGAAAAATTTTTTGAGGTAATAACTAGAGGTAGGTATATAGAAGAATAATCAATGCCGAGATCATGAGACTTTTTAAAGGGCCTGCGGTATCAGGAGTTGTAAAAGCTTCAAGATTGAGTTGGTTGGGATATTCAGAAAGAACAAAAGAAGAGGACTGTAAGCAATGGAGAGCGATTGTCCAGCTATGGGCCTAAAGGACCTGCGTCAGCATTATTAGCAACTACTAAGGAGTTATTGGGCACCACTGAAGGTCGGAGAGAACTAGGTCGCACACGACACTCATGAATTAGTGACATAAGAAACTGGTGTGACATACCTGCTGTCAATACAATAGTAAGAAGATTAGAAGAACGATCCTTACGCATAATCCAACCAGCACGAGCGCCTAAACGCTGCGTAGCATATAACATCAAAGAAGAAGAAATATTTTAAAACTCATTACCACAAATAAAAATGTTTAGACAGTAGGGTGGAGCGAAAAAATCGATATTTTTTTTGACATGTAATACCTGCAAAAAATGATCCTACCTATAGTATACTTGCTGTTAAAATTTCAGTAGAAAATAAAAATATCTTTAGGGCTCTACCGCGCATCAAAAAAAAAAAAAGAAAAAAACCAAGAAAAATCGATTTTATTTATTTTTTACTTTTAATAAATAAAAGAGGCTGCTTTTATTGATGTTAATTATATTCTATTATTTTAGTTAAAAATATTGTTATTAGAGATCTATCTGTCACCCAAGTAAATATTTTGAGCAATATTTTTGGAAATAAAACAGATCAAAAATATTATCAAATAATGTTCAATATTCGTCTTACAGTTAATTTTTATTAAATAAAGGTACGCCACTAGTAAAGGCTTTCCGTGAAATAATCTTTTCCTGTAAAACGTTTTTTGACCTGTTGCTAGATCGGTTCGACAAAGTAAGTAAGACGAAGTTAGCTCAATCTTTAGTCCCACTGTGATAGCCGTAGACATAAGATCGTTATTGTAACAATTAATCGGTACGTAATGACTTTGCCAGTGAAAGACACTATGGGCACTACTAATTGTCCTATATTTGGTGCACCTGCGAATATACCTTATAATGTTTTGCCAACTATAGAAGATGTTATGAAGCGATATCGACTTATTAGAAATGAATTAAAAATATGGATTCCGGCAAGGATCCTAGTGTTCTAGTTATTTCTCAATTAGTTACCAGTGAAATCGAAGCCATCTGGAAAAAAGCCTCAGTTCCCACTGTATCAAGCAATCGTATTATTCGATTAATTCGTGATATCTCAAGTAAGTACGAAACTTTCATCAGATATCCAAAACAAAAACGTAATGACTTATAATTTAAGAGTTAAAAAGTTCAGGCAGAAAGGATAAAACTCTGTGCCAAGAAAAGGTTGGAGATAAACTTCATTGCAAGATAAAAACCGAAGAACACATTTCGTTACTTGAAGAACCAGTTTTTAAATATCTAAATCACATTACTCCAACGTCATGTACAGGAAGACATATTGCCACATCTATACTAATTTTTTTTGAAGAATCCGGTATTGGCACAGGTAATCTTTTAGTAGTAGGCTGCGACGGTACAGCAGTCAAAACTGTGAGGAAGAATGGGCTTTTGCGGTTTTTAGAGACAGAACTGAAACATCCTCTGCAGTGGTCAATTTGTCTGTTACACATGAATGAATTGTTCCTCTGGCATATCTTTCAATCTCTCGATGGAGAAATTTTGGGACCTCGTAAATACTCTGGCAAAATGGGTAAACTATTTGAGTCTTGCGAAAATTTGCCAGTAATCCATTTTGTTCCTATTCATACCACTCTAACACAATTAGATGCTGCAGTTTAAGGGACCTTAGCAGTGATCAAAAGTACTTATACGAAATTTGTCATTCGGTTTCTAGTGGAAAGTGCTCGATAGATTTAGCAACTCGTAATCCGGGTAAATTATCACATGCACGATGGGTTACAAAGGCAAATCATATATTGGGTGTTTACGTCGGAAGTGAAAATCTGTCTTTGGTTTTAAGATCTTTGGCTGAATTTGTGGTAAAAGTTTATGCGCCAGTGTGATTTAATATTAAAACTAAGCCATCGTGTAGTGAAGGAGCAAGACACGCCTTTGATCCTGTTAAAAGAAATTCGTATTTTTGTCATCCGGAGAACCTTCTCCTAGCAATGCTTTTTGATGATCGTCCTTCCATAAGACAACTTGCCTTACGCAGAATGTTGAAGACGCGCACAAAAATACCTACTGTGGACATGAATGTAAGATAATTTTTAATTCCTGATTTAAATTTCAATGCTAGTGAATATTATGAACTTATTGATTGGCAAAATTGCTCTGTTACAATTCCTCCCCATTTATCTACTACAACTGATGAGGATATTAGAAAATGTATTAAGGGTGAAGAAATTTTTCCAACTAATTTTTTGTAATTTTCTTGTCATACTCAAGCAGTAGAAAGATGTGTGAACGTTGTAACAGGAGCTTCCAATTCTGTCCTCGACTATGACTCCAGAGATGGATTTGTTCGAGCAAGGATTCATTCAAGAGCCATATTACCTCGATTTAACACTAAGGCGCAATACAGTGCATACATTTATTTGGAATTTAAAGACAAGTAGCAATTTAATTTCCATTTAATAGTCTAGATAATAATATTTAGTTGAACTTTTTTTTAAAGAGAACCTGTTTATTTAGTAAACGGTTTGTTTTCTATATTAGAGATTTTTATTGTTTTCTATATTACAAGTTTTTATAAAATAAGGGATTTGTATTTTCTTGTCTTTTTAAATATAGAAGACTTTTTGAAACTATAAAAGTTGGTAAAATGCCTAATAGTCATTAATATATTTAGCTTCTGCGCTATTACATTAGAAAAAAAAAATTATTATTTTTTTTGTTTCACCCTGTACAACCCTGAAGATGAAAGAGTAAAAAAAAATAAAAAAAAAACATGGTACTCCTATGCATTAAGCAACTTATCCGCGCTATTACATTAAACAAAATTTTATTATTTTTTTTTTGTTTCACCCTGTAGAACCCTGAAGATGAAATGGTAGAAAAAAATTTAAAAAAACATGATACTCCTCTATGCAGTAAGCAACTTTTCCGTGCTATTATATTTCGAATAAAAAATTTAAAAAAATTCTTCATGTTTCACTCTACCCTATTAAAACAGCTATGTAGAGATTTACATAAATAAACAATAAATACTATTATTTTATTGATTTCATATTTAAAATTCTACTTACTGCCTATTGGTATTTGCAGGACAATTGGTATAATCGTATGCACTAGAATAAACAACTAAGAGCAACACCTGCAGTCACACTATTATCCTAATACGCTGATTAGCTTAAGTCAGTAACTTCCTAATGTCCCAATCAGCTTAAGATGGAATTCCTAATACGGCGATCGGGTAATTACCTTATATGGTCACGAGTAGTTCGTTGATGACAGATAAACACGGCGGAAGGGAGAAATGATAATTTAGTGTGTATTTAATTCTGACCATTGTGAACTGTGAAACTGACATTGTTTTGATTTAATTTAATAAAAATAACTATTTTGAGTGAATACGTGTTTATCTATTTTTATAGACGATATCAGAAGTGTGAAAAAGGACCTACGGTAGAGTTTAGTGAACTGTTTTTGATGTTAAGTGAATAAAAGTTTCCAAAATGCCGAAAAGGAAAAAGTCCAAGCGAAATAGTAGTTCAAGTAGTGAAACCACAAGCATTTCTTCCACGGATTCTTCGCCGGGAAGGGAGTTAAGGTATACGAAATCGAAAGGAACACGTAAGTCCAGAAATAGATCTAAAAATTCAAAAACAAATAGAACCTATACGCCTTCGCCTTTGCCTCAAATTAAAGAAAATGCCACAAAAATAAATTCTCCATCTACATCTTATAATTTTACGAGTAGAAATATTGAATCCGTCAGTTTTATTCCTGAATTTGATCCACTAATTGGAGAAATAGATCGATGGATTGAAATAATAGAGCACAATGCTAAGACGTATAGTTGGTCTGATAATTACATTATATTTCAAGCGATTTCTAAGCTTAGAGGTACCGCTAAAACATGGTACGCTAGTTTTATTGAAAATGAAGTAGCATGGTCTCAATTTTCTTGGGCAGAATGGAGATCAGTGTTAGAAAATACTTTTCAAAGTACACGAAATACTTATGATCTTTTTATGGACGTAGCCCATCATAAACCAACAGAGGGTTCTTCATTATATGAATTTTATTTTGAACATTTATCAAAAATTAATAAACTTAAAGTAAATTTTTCCGAATCAGATAAGATTTCTTTAATAATTGGTGCTATTGGAGACGAACATATTAAATCTGCCATTGAAGTTGCTCAAATCAAAGATGTTAATTTATTGGCAGTTTATTTAAGAAATAAGCTTTATCACAAAAGTCCAGAAAAATCGCTTGATTTAACAAATCAAGTTATTTTTTCCAAATCAAAATTTGTACATAATAAAAAATTCGTTAACAACAAATTTAACACGAATAAACCTTGTATGTGCTGTGGAATTCAGGGTCACTTAAAAAAAGATTGTCACCACAGAAACCAAATATTATGTAGGTTTTGTAAAATTAAAGGTCATATTGAACAACACTGTTTTAAAAAGAACAAAGACTTGCAAGAGACAAAAGTAAATAAAACGAACAAAAATTTAGAAAAAAATAAATCTGTTAAACAAATACAGTTTGATTCTTCCGAAAATAAATTTAATAAAATTATTTTCTTAAATGAGCACAGCCATACTGCATTCATTGATTTTGGCAGTGATTGTTCGCTAATTTCAAAGAATGCAGATAAGTTTAAATTAGAAATAAAATCATTAACTAAAGATGTAAAGCTTTCAGGATTTTTGGGAAATTCTTTATCAGTTATATATTATGTATTTGCTAAAATAAAAATCGATTTTGTAGAATTAAATATTATGTTGTATGTCATGGATAAACATTGGGTTAATGACCTTCTAATAGGAAGAAATTTTACAGAAGATGTAAATATTATGTATTATAGAATAGATAATAGTTTAACATTTAAATATAAGAAAGACTTAGATAAAGAAATAAGTACAGGAAATATATCTAAACACGAGAAAATGATGTTGGAAAATATTTTGCTAAATCACGAGGACTGTTTTTATACAAATTTGAAAGCTCTAAAAAAATCGCATTCTGTTGTTATGAAAATCGATATTACAAGTTCAGATGTAGTTAAGTTTCGTCCCTACAGAACACCTGCAGCTGATAAAGAAATTTTACAAGAAACAATACAAGAATTATTAGATGCAAATATTATTCGAAAGAGTAATTCATCGTTCGCAAGCCCTTCTTTTCTTATTGATAAAAAAGATGGTCAAAAACGTCTGGTGGTAGATTATAGGCATGTTAATAAAATTTCAAAAAAGATACCTCCAACAATGCCTATAATTGAGGAGATAATTGACAGTTTATATAATTATAAATATTTCACGTCCTTGGACTTGGCAGCAGGATATCATCAAATTCCTATGGAAGATAACTCAATCAAATACACAGCATTCGTTACTAGTCAAGGACATTATGAATATTTACGCTGTCCTTTTGGGTTATCTAATGCACCGACTGTATTTCAAGAAATGATGAACGAAATCTTTGAACCGTTTAAACAAAACAGTATTACTCCGTATTTGGATGATATCTTAATTCCCTCAAAAAGTATTGAGGAAGGCCTGGAACTATTAAATAAAGTATTGCAAGTATTAGAAGATTATGGTCTAACTGTAAAGATGTCAAAATCAAAATTTTTAATGACAAAAATTACCTACTTGGGATATGAAATTTCATTTAATAAAATTTCACCAAATAAACATAAAATTGAGTCAGTAAAAAAATTTCCTTTGCCAAATAATCAGCATCAATTAAGGCAATTTCTTGGATTGATATCATTTTTCCGAAAGTTCATACCAAATTTTGCAAGACGCACCGCAAAATTGACACAATTACTAAAAAAAGATGTAAATTGGACATGGACAGAAGAAGAAACGAAAATTTTTAAAGAAATGAAGAAAGTTATAGTCTCAGAACCAATTTTAACAATATTCAATCCGAAACATGACATAATAGTTTACACGGATGCAAGTAGAGAAGGATTTGGAGGCATAATAACACAAATTGTTGATGGTCGTGAAAAGTCAATTGCCTATTTTAGCAAGCAAACCACAAAAGAAGAAAAGAAATATCATTCTTTTGAACTGGAGCTTTTGGCTATTGTCAAAACCTTAGAAAGGTATAAATATTATTTAGCAGGAAGATCTTTTACTGTAATAACAGACTGCAATTCCGTTAAAAATGCATTAGTAAAACAAACAATAATCCCAAGAATAGCAAGATGGGTTTTGTGTTTACAAGATTTTTGTTTTGAAATAAAACATAAATCAGGAGTACAACTACAACATGTAGATGCCTTAAGTAGGAACTTTGAAAGAACTGAAGCAGAGGAAAGCCATGAAATTAAAGTGATGCTCATCCAAGAAGACGACTATCTAAGAGAAGCACAGGATACAGATACGGAAATAAAAACAATTAAAGATATTCTGTTGTCAGGAGATCAGCAAAATCATAAGGATATTTTCAAGAAATATGATTTAAGAGGAAACAAAGTCTATAAAATAACAGAATATGGTAGAAGATGGTATGTGCCTAAAAATTGTCGTTGGCAAATTGTCAAAATGAATCATGACGATATTGGACATTTTGCGTTGGATAAAACAATTGAAAGAATAAAAGAACGGTATTGGTTTCCACGGATGCGAAGATTTATTAAGAAATACATTGCGGCTTGTCTTGCTTGTTTATACCATAAACAACCGGGAGGAAAAAAAGCCTGGCTATCTACATTCCATTCCAAAATATGCTAGACCGTTTCATACACTCCATGCCGATCATTTAGGGCCATTTGTGTTAACGAAATCTCAAAATAAATACGTCTTGGTGTTGATTGATGCCTTTTCTAAATTTGTGTTTGTTGAAGCTGTCCCAGATACATCAAGTAAACATGTAATTCGTGCTTTAGAAGAAATTTTTAAAGTATTCGGTAATACCAAACGAATGATATCAGATGCAGGATCAGCTTTTGTTTCAAAAGAATTTTTGAATTATATGGCAGAGAGAGGAATTAGAGTGTTTACAACTGCAGTAGGAATGGCAAGAGGCAACGGCCAAGTAGAAAGGGCAAATAAAACATTACTGGATACCATGGCCACAATGGGTGCAAAATTTGAATCCGATATGTGGGATAAGAATTTAAAAAACATTCAACAAGGAATAAACGGGACAAAACACCGAATAACTAAATCTTCTCCCAGTGAAGTGTTTTTCGGGTACAAATTAAGAGTTGATGGAGACAAATACATAGATGATAATGATATGGACATTATTGATGTAACGTCATTGAGAAAAGATGTAGCTAAACGATTAGAAGAAAATAGAATCAAACAAAATAACGAATTTAATAAAAAAAGATGCTCTCCAGTGAAATATGCTGTTGGTGACCTGGTATTGACCAAAGTTACAAGTTTTCCAGCAAACAATGAAAGTAAGAAGCTTTTAGAAAAGTATAGAGGGCCATTTAGGATTGTTGAGGTTCTGCCAAATGATAGATATCGTGTAAAAGAAGATGTACATTCATCAAGAACAAGGCGTCCCTATGAAGGAGTTGTTGGTGGAGAACATATCAAGCGATTTAAGATTCAAAGATCTTAAAATTATTCAGGTTAGTTACATGATAGTATGGTCATTTTGTAGAATGACATAAAGATATTCGATTGTTTAAAAGGAATTTGTTTAAATAGCTGGAACTAAAAAAAAAAATTGTCATTCTGAAAAATGACAACAAAGTGATTCAATGATATGAATGGTTTTATTTGAGTAGTTCTGACTATTTGAAGCAAATTTTTTTTGTTTGTGCGTCATTCTGAAAAATGACAAATAAATGCTTTAATGTTCTGAATGGATTTTCAGTTCGTCATTCTGAAAAATGACAAATAAATGTTTTAATGTTCTGAATGGATTTTCAGTTCGTCATTCTGAAAAATGACAAATAAATGTTTTAATGTTCTGAATGGATTTTCAGTTCTTCATTCTGAAAAATGACAAATAAATGTTTTAATGTTCTGAATGGATTTTCAATTCGTCATTCTGAAAAATGACAAATAAATGTTTTAATGTTCTGAATGGATTTTCAGTTCGTCATTCTGAAAAATGACAAATAAATGTTCCAATGTTCTGAATGGATATTCAGTTCCACGTTCTGCAAAATGACACAAATATTTTAATGTCTTGAATGAGTTTGTTTGGATAGTCGTAGCTATTCGAAACAAATTTATTGACATTGTCATTCTGAAAAATGACAGTAACATGTTACATTATAACAGTAATGTTTAAAATTGAGCTTGTATGGATAGCGGTAGCTATCTGAAATGAATTAACGAATTGATTTAGACTATGTCATTCTGGAGAACGATGGAGCCTTTTTATAAATTGTCATTCTTAGTAATAAAGAACATATTTTTTTTTAATAGGTTTTGTACGATCGAGGACGATCGTGACGTCAGGATGGTCGAATGCAGTCACACTATTATCCTAATACGCTGATTAGCTTAAGTCAGTAACTTCCTAATGTCCCAATCAGCTTAAGATGGAATTCCTAATACGGCGATCGGGTAATTACCTTATATGGTCACGAGTAGTTCGTTGATGACAGATAAACACGGCGGAAGGGGAAATGATAATTTAGTGTGTATTTAATTCTGACCATTGTGAACTGTGAAACTGACATTGTTTTGATTTAATTTAATAAAAATAACTATTTTGAGTGAATACGTGTTTATCTATTTTTATAGACGATACACCGTGCAGAAAAGGGAGAATTTAAATACCATTTTGAACGATAATTTGTATCAAATATCTAGGTAGATATACGAGAAGATTTTATTTTAAAGTTAATGGCAAACAAGTTTACGATTTATATACCTACTGTATTTATTTTCCTCATAATTCCTGGAACACAAAATCCTTTTATTTTAATTAAGTTGCGTAATAATATTTTTTGTTTAATGTACTTTCTTAAAATAAACTCTAATTTAAAGGTAAATAAGATTACAATATTTGGTGTGTTTTTATTGCTAGATTTTCTCTAAGGTTTCATCTAAATTGTGCATAGTAGATATTACGAGAGAAATATTACAAACAAAAGATAATTTATAGATACATTTCTTTTGTAATTTATTTAAAATTCAAAAACACTGTACAATAATAAGAGGTTTTTATAATGCTTATATGATATTTAACAAATAGCTTAAATTATAGCCAATGCGATTCGCAAACAATATTTTCTTCTTCCAGTTTAAATTTTTTGCACCATGGCTCATTTATTTGACCAATTTATCTATATAAAAGCCTAAGTCGACAGGTCACACTGTCTGTTCGGTAGGGTAACTACGCCACGTAGGAAAGATATATGAACTATCAACTTTCAATCTACTGATTCAATCATATTTTGCCCTTGAAACGATACGTTTAACCAATAAGAATAATTACATATTATTATTATCAACAATTATGATTAATTCTTTCGCAAAATTGCCAACAAAATTGGTTGCTGTAATTTTAAGATAATATTATTTAACCCTTCATTAGTCGGGCATAGGTCCAGTGGACCTAGACCCCAGTTTTTTGCCTGTAATTTAAAATAAAATTAATATATATCATTAAACTTTGATGGTACACAAGGCAAATATAATTATTCGAACATTCAACCTTATATTGATATATCATTGAGCCTAAATGACATCTAATGATGATCAGTCTTCTTTTACCTGCCGAAGTAACATTCCAATAACCGCCGAGACTTTCCGGAAATTTGCGAACAAATTCGACCGTACACAGAATAGGTCCGCCGGAGCTAGTACCAGAGAACTACGAACGCTAGTACGCTCAATCACCTCAGTGCTATTTGGTACGTCTGCTGTGGCGTATGAGAGTTATATGCTAGTGCTTATTGTCTTTTACTGACTCTAAATAGTGTGTATTGTGAATAATCGACCTTACTTATTTTGTGACAATTACGTAAAAAAGTATTTTATCATAATTTGGCGACACTTTTGAGAAAATGAGTAATCGTATTTAAAAACTTGATAATCCGGCAGACGTAGAAGAGCTTAATCGTCTTGTTTTTGAAGAAGGTGAATGTGACACAAATACTTTACCCCAAAAAGATTTTGACGTATTATCCTGGAGACAAGTTCGATTGATTCTCATACCGATCATGAAATCGACGACGTAGATACAGAAGACATGGTGGGCGCCGAAAGCGAAAACTTTTATAATGGTAAGTCAGGTTATAAGATGTGTCCGTTTCGATGAAAAAACCACACAGCCTCAAAGACAAGCAACAGATAAATTAGCTTCAGTGAGAGATATTTTTAACTATTTTTTTGGAAAATTGCAAGACATATTATAGCCTAGGACAAAACACAACAATTGATGAAATGCTGCCACAGGATTCCGTGGACGTTGCGGATTTAGACAGTACATACCATCCAAACCGAGCAAGTAACGAATCAAGATATTCTCTTTATGTGATGCAAAACTATTATATTTTTTATTTTTATACTTATAATATGAAAATTTATTGAGAGCAACAACTGGAAGGACCTTACAGGAGGAGTAATTCTGCAGATGCAATTGTATGCAGGTTGGCAGAACCAATTTTCGGAACAGGCAGGAATATTACTGCCGATAATTGGTTTACGAGTTTGAACCTTGTAAAAGAACTGGAAAAACAAAAATTGTCCTTTGTAGGAACCGTGAGGAAAAATCGACAAGAAATTCCGGCAGATTTTGCATTGCCCAAAAATCGCAATGAATATGATAGCTTATTTGGTTATACTAAACACGAGGCACTTGTATCATATTTACCAAAAAAAAAAAACAAGATAGTTGTATTGTTGTCTAGTTATCATACGTCAAGTTTAATTGTATCGTCTATAAGAAACCGGAGATAATACAATTTTACAATGAAACAGAATCAGGCGTGGACGTTGTGGATAAATTATGTGCCACTTATGATGGCCTATGGTGATATTTTACCCATTATTAAATGTAGCCGGAATTAACTCCATGATTATTTCTTTTGGAAATGGGGCAGAGTATATTACGAGGCGGATCTTTTTGAAAAATTTGGCAAAAAGTTTAGTAACTTTACATTTACAAAGGTGATCAACAATACAAAGTTTACCGACTAAACTGAAAACTCTTTTAGAACCTTATAAACCTGAACAAGAAGAGACACATGAAAGGGATCGAGCAGCAAATAGTTCAAACCATAGTAAAAGAAAACACTGTGCAGATTGTTACAAAGAAACGATGAAACAATGCAAGACTCAATATTCTTGTGAAAGGTGTAGCAAATTTTTATGTTTGAGTAGAAATGCTAAAAAAATGTGCGAGGAATGTTTTAATAAATATTAATGAGATATATATTAAATCTGTAAATAAATATAATACACATGTCTATGTTGGTTTTTCACTTTAAATATATTTTTATTAATTCCATAAGTAGTTTAGTTTTTTTTTTCTGTTTTTCTCCATATATGGGCATAATATTACGCATTCAAAATCTGTTTAATTATTTACTTCCTTATAAAATACATTTATTTATGTTGTAACATTAAAATAATAAGGAAAATATTTTTAAAAATCCGCTAGTAATTTTATAGCTAGTAATTTTTTAGTAATACAAACCAACGCTACGATCTGGAAAAAATTGATATGCTCCGGAAGTGACACCCGAGATAATCTATACAAGGTTGGGATAATTATCTCCAGAAGAATCCAAACATCCCCTATAAATTTTGTTCCCTTTCCAGATAAAGTGCTGTCATTATAAATACAGGGTAAGCTAATAAACACTTATATAGTGTGAGTGTATGCTCAAATTGCAGATTAATCAGAAGCTAAAATAGAACATTTCTATGACCTACTTAAACAACTTTTACAATACACTAGGAAGGAAGAAATTACAATCATAATTGGCGATTTTATTGCAAACATAGGAAAAGGCCGAGTAAACAATATGATAGGTCATTATGGTTTAGGAACAAGAAAGGCTAGACGCGACAGATTGGCTCAATTTTGTCAAGAAAAAAACCTGGCGATTATATATACATGGCTTCAATTATCACGCCATAGACTTTATACCTAGAAGTCACTACAGGATAATTAACAAAATTTCATAAGAAATTACATCGACTTTATACTAACCAATCTAACATTTAGAAATTCCATTATAAGCGGTAAAGTTTAGTTTCGAGGAGATATCCAGACTACACTATAATTCACGGCATAACTTTCGCGTAATTGGTTGGTGGGCGGGTCCCAATTTAAAAATTGGCGGGTTTCATGTTTATTAAAATGACAATTGTGGTATTGTATGTAGCACAGTATATCGTGGCACAGAATTTTTATTATAGTTTGATAGGCTTATTTGCAAGAAAGTTAGTTAACACCTTGACGACGGCACCTCAAAACGCTGTCATTAGTCAGAGCCGAGAGCAACTTTTCATTTATTTTAAGTGTAACTGGATTTAAATTACAAAAAAAAATTGTATTAACTTTTAACAATGTTGTTTTTTTACATTTAATTTAACATTATTATATGTTTACTTGATTAGTAATATATAATGTAGTAACATTTCATAAAATATATGAAGGGCCACGGGTAAGAACGATCAGACTTCTTTTTGGTCGGAATTTAGATATTAACGTCATATTTTAGCTTTTCTTGGAAAGAACCCAAGCATGGTTTTGTTTGTAAAATAAAGATCACCGTACAAAAGATAATAAAGGGGAAAGATTTAAGCCAACGAAGAAGAACGATCAGGTTCCTCGCGCTGACGGCTAATAACGATCAGATTCTGATGACCTTTTAACTAAACGTAGATTGTCGTTTGCATCTTTAGCATCTTAGCGTCAGTTCTATTCTGTAATCGCTAAGCGAGCTGCTGCTATTTTGCAGTTTTCATTAGTTTGTTTTTGAGAAAATTCATAATGTCAAGTAATCTTAGTGATAGTGATACATCTAGTGGAAATAATCAGCCAAGAAATGTCAAAAAGAGTAGAAAAACCGGCAAAATGAGTAATGTAATGAAAAAATTACGCATCAACACTCACGAGGTCAGGAAATACTGTAAATGTCTTCGTTACAACTGTTTTCAAGTCATATTTTTGAATAAAAGACAACGATTAATTTCTCATTTTAATGAGTTAGGAGACTACATATACCGTGACAAAGTGCCTCCGTCTCCGTTGGAAGACGGAGAAGCCAAAACCCTGAAGCTGAAGCAAGTTTGAATCAATCTTCTTATAGCTATAGAGTTCAGGTAAATGTAAGTGGCTCGTTACAAGATACTGTTGTTTGCTCTAAAGCATTTTTGTCTTTACACATTTGTCTCATCTTTATGTGCCGAAATGTCCTACGGCGACTAGGCCTATTAGGATTTTAAAAATAGAAAAATATCATCCACGGTTTATCTTACACAAAGACCATTATTTTGGCCAATATCTTACAGCCGTGTTAGTTCCCTCAAAAAATCAGGCACTTAAGAGAAAATTGAAACGTGTTCCACTAAAGAAGCTATATAATGAACTTCTGCCTATTAAGACTGCTAAGTTGCATGATTTATTGTACCTAACCCAATTCCTGACAAACCCTAAAGCGCATTTCTTTTACCAAGGACTAGTTTTCGATAGCGGTACGAATGAAGGTAGTGATGTGGAATTTGCCGAAGATCCACCAGTCGACATTTAACGCGCCAAATAGATCAGAGTCCAGCTCCTTAATTAAAAATTTAAAGATTTCAAGTACATATATAATTGGCAATCTATTTTTTTTTATTTTTGTATTAAAAAGTCTTATAGTAATAATTGAAAACTAAATATTTTGTATTTAATTTTCCTGAAC